ATGCTCCTGACACCTGAATCTTACCAGTTTACGTAAGGATCAAGTGTGAGAGCTAGAGAGTTGAGCTCAGATTTTTTTTTTTAATTGTGTCAGACTAGAGAGTCTGTGTGCAGTGTGACTTTTTCAGAGGAAAAAAAAAAAGTCAATTTTTGTGAATTGCTAGATTGCTGTTTGGCTGACCTACACCAGAAATGTCAAATTTCACATGGTTTTCACTTGTAATCAGGAGAAATGAATGTACCAAATTTCATGATCATAACTCAAAAGGTCACTTGAATATTAGCGAACAACAAAGGCACAGTGCCCTTTCGGTGACGTTTGATGGAAAGTTCAAATATATTGCTTTTCTAGGGCCAAGTGGCTCATAATGAGTGAAAATGTAATTTGCTAATATTCTACCTCCTTTGAAAAGTGGAAATTAATGTACAGTCATCATGTTACAACTCTATTTTTTCAGCACAGTCTAATAAAAATAGATTCATATGCTCCTTATGATAGATTAATCCTAAATCTCCTGTTATATATGTGGGTAAGCAATGGAAAAAAGGATGTAAATTTAGAACCTTGATTTAGATATTCAAAATCATATGTGAGATAATGCAAATATACTCAGAAGTCCCAGGAGTATTGAATTCATTCCATTATCTGTCTGATCTCTGGCTATAAACGACTGATCAGTTTTCAGAGGCGTTGTGTGTGTTTGTATTCTCTTTAATATAAATTCTGAGATCTTTAAGCAAAATAAAGCTTCTATATTCATTTTAAGATATTTGGTAGTCCAAATTATGAATTATATTAATGTGACATTGATTCTATTATATTCTTGTGGTAAATAGAACTGCTGAAAAATCCATGTGCCTGCAACTGTTCATTTCACACCTCTACTTAATTTTAGCACAAGAACCAGAAGAAAGCTAACAGTGAGGAGCAAATGGCATGAACAACTCAACTTCAGAAGCAAATGTTTTTTGTTGACCAAAACAAAAAAAATTCTCTTTGGCCTTCCTTTCTAACCCAGCTAATAATATGTTTCTTTTCTAAAATGTGTGAAACAGAAAATACAATATTCTTGCTCTCATTGTTTGAACTTGGATTAAAAATTGCACAGTGTTTAGAAGCTCTTTGACATGGACTTTGAACTCCTTGTGGCTCCTTCAAAATTAATCTGCTGACCTGGTTTTGTAGAAAATACTGTTGCAACATTGTATCAACAATGTAGCAAATCTCAATGAGAGCCCTTACAGGAAAGAAAGGTGATTTTATTTAAAATAACTGTATTGAAACAGGTTTCACTCACAATCTCACAGTCTCACACTCTCAAGGACCAGAACATGCATGTCCAAGAAGTCTGCCCAGCAGCCAAACGTTAGGGCAGAGGTTTCCAATCTGTCTTCGTAAGTTGGTGGCATGTCAAGGTTTTGGATATGACTTTTTGTACCCTTTTGGAGCTATGTCTGTGTTCTGTCCCACCTCGGCAATTAATCAAGAGTCATCATGGTCTCCTGATGTCCATGTCCTGTGAAACTGTGCTTAGATGTCCTGCAGTCTTGATGACCTAATTTTTCACGCTATGTGTCCTGCTGGTGTCTCCATGCCCAGATATTTCCATTCATGCCAGTCTTGGCCTTTCTGTTGCAGTTTTCTACAGTAAAAGATAATAGGCCATCAAAAAGGCTTTTCCATGCAAAACTTTCTTGTAGCATATCTTTAGATGAGTAGCTCCTAAACTTTATTTTCCTACAAGTACCTTTCAAATTAGATTTAAATTTTCCTTTAATATCACTTCAGAAAAGAAGCTGGGTATGACTTAGAGTAGTATCATTGTGCCATTTTGGATAGCCATTTCTGACTATCCAAAATTCTGTCCATGGTACATGTCTATGGGAGTTCTTTCCATTCCCGAATTCCCCTAGGGCAGCTACAGGGACTTCTGCCATGGCAGCTTGCCACTGCTGTTCTCAGCTGTCCTTCTCCCATTCAGACTCTGATGCCCCTCCTACTCTCAACAGCAATAGAGTAAGGGAGTTCCAACATGGGCAAAGTTGCTTTGATGCAACTCTCCACTCCCAAAATGTTTCTGACAACCTGACTGAAATTTCAGTCTCATGCACAAGCCTCCTATGTAAATCATAGCAGACTGCACTCTTCTAATACCTTAGACTGTTGTGACTACAGCTGCAATACCGCTGGAAGCTCTAAAGCAGTGTACATACTAGAAACGATATTCAAAAATTCGCTAATATTATTAGTTGGGAAACTTTTGCAAAAAGAACAATCAAGAATACCGAGAACGCTTAGTAGAAAACAGTAGGAAAATGCTACTAGCAAAGCAATCCGGACTGTACAGCATGCTTCTGAGCAAGTATCCCAAAAGGCACTTGCATTTCTAAGAAATACCTGTTTTCCAGATGCTTGCTAGTCTATTGAAATGAATGTGTGAAGCAAAATAATTTTCCTTATGTAGAAACTTGCCCTAGTTGATATATTATTTTGATATATTTTGTTCTTCAGTACTGAGTATCTAGTATGTCCTTGCTCAGAAAAAGCATTTTGTTTTGCATTAACAGTGAAATGGAGAACAGCAGTGCTGATTACTGTAAAGCACATGTAGTAGTATGACAGGGAGTGAGAGGTTCAAGATAATACGCAGTTAAAATAATCAACATGTCTTCAAAGGTTGTCAGCAATTAAGGGTTTCAAGTTTTACTTAAATATTTTACAGGACAAGTTACAGTTTTATATTTTTGTAACGTCAGAAATAAAAGAATTGATTGGATGAAATGAAGCAAAATCAACTCTTTTATGTATCAAATGCTTAAATTAATTGGAGGAAAAAACTTGTTGGAAAAAACTCTCACAACGTTATAAATGAATGCTGAAGATCTTAAGCTGAGCATAACATTTATTTCTGGCATATCTGAGAAATAATTATTTTAGGAAAATGTGTACAAATATGACCCAGAGAAATATAATATATGGCAAAGTATTGCAAATGCTTTTGCCTAGTAACACTGAGGATATTTTTGTGCAAGACAAATTTACCCTGGAAAACCTTGGATTCCATCCCAAGGACACCTTCAGCCTATTAAAAAACAAAATTAAAAAAAAACAAACTGTAAAAGAGCACATGTTGATGTTTGTTCAAGTTCACTAAAGAGTAAGAGATCTTTCCTTATGTTTTAGAAACATTGTAAGAAAGAAGATAGTGACATTCTCAGAGTAAATTAACTGATTCTCATATTAACTCTGAAATTAATTCATACACATCAACCAGTAGTTCTTATACAGAAAAATTTTTTGAAAAACAACACCTTTTAACTGCTTGATTAAATATTCAGTGGATATAGTACAATAATTCCCAGACAAAAAAGAAAATCCTTATTTGTTAGAGAGAGGAGTAACGTAATAGAGTATTGTACTATAAAAAATGATGTCCTAAAAGGAGAGAATTGTAAGATACAGTGGAAGCTACTAATATACAAGGGTAAGATACTCTAGAGAATCTTATTACTTTCCTGTTCCAGCTACACTGGCTGGAACATGTTTCTGATGCAAAATATCCTTGGCAGGACATCTGCCAAGCTGGATCTGTTGTTCAAGCTGCATCTTTTGAGAAGACTAAGGTCAGCAGTGGAGCTCCATAAATGGGAAGGAGGACAGTTTAGGCCTAGGGAAAGGGAACTCTGCTAGTGCACTTGTAAATTTTCTACTTGTTTTCCCCAGAGTGTTGATTCTGTCTCTTGCTGATGTCTTTTTCCATCAGCCTACTGCTTTTTTTAAATGTACAATGCTATCTTCTTTTCTGGATTCTTAGGCTGGCTATTGTTTTGTGAAAACTGTATATTGGATATATACTTCCATTTTGTATGTAATAGTCTTTGGAATAACACCAAAATTGAATGAGCAGTTCATTACCAATTTACAGTGCTACAGACCTTAATGCAGTAATGTCATAAAGCTTCAGGGAGTATATCTCATGATTATATGCAAGTAGCATTTCCCATTTACTAGTGTCGGTATTCTATCACAGAAAAAACGCAGTCAATAAAAGTCACTGCTGCAACATGAAAGACTTAAACTAATGGAGGTGTAATCTTTATCCTTTGTGTTCTGCCTGCTATGCAGTAATCATTCAAATTAAATCCTAGCCATGTTTAGTGTACATTTATCCACCCTACCGATTAAAAGTTATAGAAGAAAATTACCTTTAATATGATGCTGATAGTAGTTTGCTCTAGTCTGCTCTAATAGCATGAATATCCTCAGTTCTGACTTCCTTGGGCCTAACCTGGTGGTGTATGAACACTGGATATATAAACAGGAGAAGCACATAGGAGTAAGTTACTTTTTTCTTCTGTGTATGACACTGATTGAAGATACTAGGCTTCTTAGCATAATTCTAGTGTCTGCTTTCTTTTAAAAAGGGTAATAGAAAAATGTAGAGATAGCACAGAAATAGCAGAGTAAGAATATCCTCCCAAGCAGTTACTACAAAAATCACTCACGTGCTGTAAGTTCAGGTCCTAGTTTAACTTGCCTTGATTGGTTCATGTTACTGTTACCTATTATGATAACAGATGGAGAAAGGTACACTTGATCAAAACTGTAAATGGAGTATCTAGAAGTGCTATGAGTCTATTCAATCTACAATAGGATTCTGCTAAATGAGGCCAGACATTTCTTAGTTAGGAGTGTGACTAGTAAAGATATTAGGGGGAAAAGGTTAACCTTTCACACGTTTTGAGAAAAACGTTTCTTTAGGTCTGTTTGTGCACACTGAATTCCTGACGCTGTAGGCTAAAGAACTTCCTGTGCATTAACTGAACGGCTGTATCATCTGAATACCTTTAGTCTTTTATGTAATCCTCCTTGTTAATTTTATATTTATTCAAAATATAAAGCATCAAGAAATCAAAATATAATAGCATCAAGGAAGGTTTTTAGAAAGGGAATAGAACTATTAATTTTGATTAGTTGTTATTGAAAGTTTTAAGTTACATGTAAGTATTGTTTAATTAAAAAATACTTTCTCTAGAAATATGTGTTAAAGTAACTTAGCCTTTTTGAGATTTCCTGCAAGTTTTATATTACTTGGTTTTGTATTCTTAATGTCAGGTGGTTTAGGGGATTATCTCTTGAGTCTTATGTGAAGTGAAGCTCCTTTTTTGGGGAAAAAAAATCATTTGGAACTAAAATGTTTATGTTCACTGTCAAATAATAAAATATTGTTCTATCACAACCAAGGAGCCTTCTAATTATAATTTCTTATGCATGTTGCACTTTAAGGAGTGAATTTCTTTGACAGAATTTTTTAGGAGTGGATTTTACTTAACTCACAAATGTATTGATCAGTTAGGGGTAGTATGGAATAAGCCTCCTGTATAGTCAATGACTAGAGAGGGAGGGAGGTTTTTTTCAGAAGATACAGAGAATGTAAATAAACCTCCTGACCTGAATTAGAGACTGAAGGTGGGGCTTTTGAGGAGTAGCCAATGCCTCTGGTGTTCTGTGAGGCACCTAGCCAACATGCCTTCAGCACTCTAGAGTGACAGTTCTTGTTTGGGTATGCAGAGGGCATAGCAAGCCTAGCATGCTAGTTTACACTGCTAAATTTGATTTTTGAAGTTGGGTGTTGTGAAACCCTGCTTTCATGTAATGCTTGGTAAGCACAGACTCAGTTCTCTGCTTTGTAAACTTCTGACTAATCTCAGTAAATACCAGTGAAGTCAGGAAAAACTGACTGGGGCAAAAGCTGTTGCTCCTAGGCCTGAAAAGAGCATTCAGATTAAAGTTGATAGTAATTAGTTTTTGTGTATGAACTTGTTTTGTATTAGAATGACAAAAAGCCCTAAAATAAAACATGCATAAACCTAATGAGCTGCAAAAGGAAAATAACATTTCCTTTTGAAATCTTCTCTTAGTGAAGGAAGACCATCTCCCAGAGTCGAGCTGCTTCATAACATAGACCCCATGTTTGTGGATGCTTTCCCATGTGAGTATGCTATTAATTTTTAAAAGCTTATTAAACATTTAATTTATCTTCCTAATGCTCTGTATTTTCCTTAAGCAAAATATTTCCTTCCTGGTGAAACAAAATACAGTAGGATGCTTTCTGCTTGGAAGTAGTTTAGCTTAAAGGTAGAGGAACATCATCCCCCCAGGCGTTGTAAACGCATACTGAATCATGCTCAATGCACACACTCCATTTCACAGAGCTCTGACACATGCTACTGAGTAATGAATGAAGCACTTTAGGACGTGAGATTGCTGAGGAGCAGGATTGTTGTGCCTGAGGTGCACAGGGAGGCACACTGCCAAAAACCCCAAAACAACAGCAACAACAACAAAAACCCCCAAACACCCTATCTTCAGTGCTCCAGGTTAGTAGGTAGCTCCCGATAAACTGCTCACCCTAGCATATCTTGGTACATCTCTATAATATGATTGTATTATTGACCTTGCAAATGGAAAACCTGAGTTTATGTGAAGCGAAGAAGTTCCAGGCTTCATGGTTGCTTTTGTTCCATAATCACACGAGTTGGATCTTTAATGCCATAATCACATGAATTGGAGCTTAAGTTTACCAGTTGTATTTAGCTCTCTGAACATGGTCTGTTGTTTGATTCAACATTATTAGTTTGCTAAGAACTACAGACTTTTCAAGCAGAGATGTTTTGCATACAAAACATTGGAACATGTCTTTTCCAGTGTTTTTATAGAATTCCTGTGTTTCATTGAATGAAGAAGTAAATCCAGACAGAGGGAAATTAGTACCATGGGGACAGTGATTTGTTAATTGCAAGATAGATAGAAGTTATGCTGTAGTAACTTGATGGAAATGGGTAAGGTGGTCTTCTGCAATGCACATCTGGTTCTGTGATGCTTCTCTGAGAATGAGCAACACTGCGCATATCTAATGTTGGCTGGACAGCACTGCCTGCAGATAATTCCTACATACTGATGGAATTAAGGCGTAGCCTCTCCAATTTCCCTTCAAAGAATGCTTAAGGAGTTGTAGCATTCCTGTATAATGTTATGCCCTGATGTGGTATTCTGAGGTGTTACTTCAGAGAACATCTTTTTCCTTGTGGGCACTGTCCTGACTGAGCTCAACTGAGGTGTTTGGATAGACAACTTTCCCGTTTAAATAAAAGGAGGATGAGAAAACAAAATTTTAAGGAGCCTAAGCTCAGGAAATTCTTCCCCAGATTGTTTCCATGATGCCCTAGTCTGTTGACACTTACTATTCACTAGTGATATATAATGAATGTTTCATTTCCTTGTTTCTTGTGTGCATGTATGTGTTCTCTGAGACTGAGAGAGGGAGGGAAAGGTGTGGAAAGCAGAACTTTCATTTTGAATAAGATGCTACTTTTAGCCAGCAAGAACAGAGGGATGGGTATATATAAATCTATAATGTCTTTATACATCTTTCAAAACTAGAGTGAACTTAAAAACAAAAATGTAACTATTTATTGCATGTCCTTATGCATCATGCAGGGTTTCCCTGTCTCTTCTCAGCAAAGGCTTACAGCTTTGGCAACTTACCTTGCTATCCGTTTCACTTTCTGCCGTAATAGCACTTGCAGTCAAGATCAGGCAGTGCTGACCCTCAGATTAATATAAGTGGTACTTCCTAATTTTGATTTTACGATATCATTCTCAGGGGATTTGAGAGTAAGTAATTGTATTGCTGATAGATTTGATAAGAATATTTTGTCATATGTAACAGGGGTATAAAACTATTTCTCAGATCACCATTCTTTTGAATAACATGCATCATTTCTAATGCAACAGAGCATATTAATTTATAATCCGGTGTTGGGGACAAGAATCCAGATTTCTTTATGCTTCAACTGTTTAGGATAAAGTACTTAATTTATTTTTGGAATCATTTGGAAAAGTTGGAATCATTTTGTGCTTTTCAGGATGGGTCATTTTATTATTTATGATGCTGGTTTTGACCAGGATACTGAAGTTATACTTCCTCATAATGTCATATAACAATTACAATTTTCTGTTCAGAAGTCTGGGTTATTAGGAATGAGTTTGTAAGTATGCGGCTGAGCCCATTTCTTAAAATATCTGTCCTCTGCGTTAGTATAAGTTGAGTAACAGGTTTACAGTCAAGTTCCGGAAAAATGATATCGGTATCTCTAATAGATTAAAGAGACACAAAGTTTGGAATGTATAGGCACTTTCATCTTTTCAGTAGTCATAACTCTCTTCGTATTTTAAAAAAGTATTTTAAAATAATTGCCCATACAATCTTCCTATCATTAAAGTGATAAAAACTTCATTCTTGAGTCTTGCTCTTGCCTGGACTGTTTATAGTCTCCTTGTCTTAACTGTTTTGAGATCGGAGTATTCCTTTGCCTATGATGTTAAAATACGTATGTGTGTATCTTGCTCAGTTCCTTTTCATGTCCTGTGTTGATAATTAAGTCTTTGGCCTTCTTTATGCACATCTTGCCTCTGTCTCAGTCCACTTAAAATGTCTCTTGACCTAAATCGTCTCTGTAGTTCTTATGCCACATGGAGTGTCCATATTGTACTAATATTTTCTTTTTTGTTGAAATTGAAATAGAATGTAAAATAATGACTGGAAGATGCAGATTAGCCAAACCTTTGGATTTGCATGCTCCTGCAGAAGAGCAAATAGGAAATTGAATCTCAAGATCCTATTAAACATGACCAAAAAAGTCTTCCAGGAGGCTGGGGATAAATTAGGAGAGCTCTGATCGTATAATTAAGAAAGGCCCTGTATTGCAGTGATTGCACACACACAGAGACTTAAGTTATCGTTATACTTGCACTCAGTGCACACTCAGTGTTCCTGAACTCTTTAGTGCTTTTGCAAATAGTGCATACATTCTTTCAGTATATATTATTTTTATTTAATGGATGAATTTATCTTCATCTCTCTCTGAATAAGCTGACAATATATGTATTTTTAAGAACATGAATCATGGGGGGGCCTTGTGTAATTTATGGATTTTTGACTGAAATGGGAAAATCAAGCTGTTTTATTCAAAATTTTTACACTAGTGTAAGTATTCTTTCAGGGAAGAGTTTGAGCAAAAGACACAATTAATTTAGTCATAACTTAACTCTTAAAGCTAAGCGTTCAAGAGAAGGTTAAATTAAAGGTTGGAAATAGTATTTTGATTACAGAGCTAACTAAATTTTTTGCCACTCTGGTCTGTTAGAGCACACCCTCACCTGTGTGTTTACTGCTCATGGGATAACTTGCAATTTTTCAAGCTCTCAAGGGTGCTGATTTCTAACATCTGGGGATCAGCTGGGGTTACTCCAGCAGATCTGATACATTTCATCATCTACTTATCTTTCTTCAGGAGCTTGTGCGTGGCAGTAAATACAGTAGCCATACACTAATCTTGTATCAAAGGACTGTACTTTGTTCCAACTATTAACATTAAACAGCGTAAGAGGGAAAACACTCTGAACTAGTCTGACTGCAGTTCTGTTTTATAAGAAAATGTTGACAAGTTGTCTTTTAAGCTGTCTCTTTCAAGCAATTGCCATTTCTCTCCGAGGGCAGCTTTCTTCATCCAAACGTAAACCTTTCTTGTAGTGTCTCAGGCTGTAATTTCTCATTTGTTCCCTTCAGTGCTAAAAAGGAGTTCCTGTCCTCGGTTGCAGGCTCTTGCCCTCATGCTGCTCTCTGATCTATGGCAGTCCAGTAAAACAATCAAGGTTAAAAATAATCTTTTCTCTCTAGTGAACTGATCGGGTTTACAGTATGGACCCACAACAGTTGTGGTGTTTTTGCAGAGGAGGCAGTGTGGCCCTTGGAGTATGAGACTGGGGTAAATGGCCATAAACCATACTGCTGGGGGAGGGGACGGTGTGGCCTCTGTAGCAAAGCCAGTTAAATGGTGAGCTACTGCCAAACTGGGCAATCTCTCTCTCCTTTCCTCCCATCCTTTTCTGCTTCCCTTGAGTTCAATCTGGAAATCACATGACAGGATGAGTCTTCTGCCAGATCAGACTGTCAAGCTAACCTAGAAAAGAAAAAAAGAAAGAACAAAATTAGAGGGGGAAAGATTTCTACCAAATCAACCAGCTGAATCAACTTACCGGTGGCTGTATGACTGGGAGAGGATGTGTGTGTGTAGTTGGTGGCAGAGAGGAAGGGACTGCACCTGTCAGCTACATCAGTTCAGGCCACCAGGGAACCTCAGCTGGAAGCAGTGGTTTCATAGTATAAGTTGATAATGCTTACCACAAAGAGTAAGTCCTGCCTCCCATAGCTGCTCAGTTCCGCTCCCCCCTCTCTTGGGTCACCAAAACCACTTGTATAGTCAAGCTATGCACCAAATCAGGATATTGGTTCGGATTGTAATAACCTTTTTCTTGGATATATTCCCAGGATCCGTTTCTCAGTACAACTTTGCCAAACACTAGTTTTGGCACAAAGGAAGGGGCTGGAAGGAATTTCTGGGGACAGGTGAGACTGCTTCTGTTGGTGGCTCTGAAATTCAACTCTGAAGTTTCTCTCTCATGATATGGGGCGAAGTGATCCAGCAGTTTTCTTCATTTCCTTCCCTCCCCGTTGCAAGCCACATGCTCTTCATGCTTATTTCGCACCTATTCCAGCACTTGTCAGATATGTCCATGGTCTGATTCAGCTTGCTTACTTGGGGTGGGGAACAGATTGTTTTCCTCTGGGCAGGCAGGTGGGTTGAATCTCCTCATTGAAAGGGCTGATGGATGCCAGAGCCAGAGCAAGGTGGGAGTGAGCAGGACCATGCAGTTGGAAGTGGGGAGGCAGAGGGAGAGCCAACCCTCCTAGTACTGGCTGACTGCTCATGCAGCCAGAGCCTGAGAGAGAAGGTATGCGGCACCGCACCCTCCACTTGGACCTCACTGTGCTAAACCAGTCTCGTGAGCTCAGCAGATGCAGAGGGACCCAGAGTGCTCTGAGCTAGCTGCTGTTTCCTCTCCTTGCTAAAAGCCGTTATTTTTGTC